GCTCGTGTCCTGCGTGTGAACTGTGGGTGTCCTGTGTGTGTCCCGCTCGTGTCCTGCGTGTGAACTGTGGGTGTCCTGGGGGTGCCCTGCTTGTGTCCTGCATGTGTCCTGCTTGTGTCCTGCGTGTTGACTGTGGGTGTCCTGTGTGTGCGGAGCACAGTCGTCGCCACCATGCGGAACCTGGAGAGGCGCGGACCTCTGGAGGAGGCGGCGGGGGAGGAGCTGGGCCAAACGCTGGAGATCAAGCAGCTGGATGTGTGCGACGCGGCCTCCATCCACGCCTGCGTGGAGAGCCTGCCCGACCGGCACATCGACGTCGTGGGTGAGCTGCTGGCACGCGCGCCGGAACCAACACGGGCACCATCCTCCCCAGACTGGGCCTGGGGGCCACAGGTCGCGTTAGAACTCCTTCGCACAGAGGTTTCATCCGGCAAACGCAAAACAGCTGCAGCAACACGGTGCTCAGCAAGAGCTGCCAGATCTGCTGCCGTTTATATCATGACAGTTCCAGTAAGACGCACAGCTGCTGTTGTGCCAGATCATCCCAGATAATCCCACTATCCAATAAATTGGAGACTTCATCTGATTTTGATTTTCAATTTGTTTTAAAAAGTAAGAAATCAGAGTGTTAGTGGGATCGACATCTGTGCTTATTGTGTAGTAAAATTACAGTTTCAGCACAGACGAGCCATAAATCACTGACTCGATTACAAATTCTACACGTACAGCCATAATTGATCCCAGGCCTGATGCCAACACACATAACATCGCCCACACACTCATCAGAGTAGCAGCTCTCCCTGGTACAGTATCTTTACATCGTATTACCACAGAAGAACAGCATGGACTTCTTCAGCCTTGCTGTGCTACTTGGGCCTACACTGAACAAGCACCTCTGAAAACAGAAGGCGGGAACAAGACCAACACTGCTTTGTACAGTCTGCTTCTGAACACCTCTCTTCTAATTTTGGCTCTGAATTCCAAAGTAAAGGCTGTTTCACACACAATCCATTAATGTGGCGCAGGAGCAGAGCTGGGGAAGCACTTCAAGTGTCACAACTGGGCTGAAGACCACTGTGCAACACTAATTTACCTTCCTACCACCTTTCATGTCAGTGAGCTCTGAGAAGGATCCTCCTGTTTAAAACAAGTCTTGGCAAAGGCAACACAAAGCGAAGAGAGCAATAAGGGCTCTCGTTAGACAACAGCGAATTGCAAGAGATTATTCCCTCCTTTAATCTGATTTTAACACAGCAGGTAATAATTAAAACTATACTGGAACGGTGATAGTGTTAATTCCACAATTACATTCTCCTCCCTTTCCCCTTACTTTCAATCTCCGTTGTTTCTGCAGCAGAAAAACAGAGAAAAGCACATTCCAGCGATCTGAAACCCAGCAGGCAGAGAAGGCTGTCAGCACTGGTTTGCACCCAATGTGTTTTTAATAGCTGGGCTGTGCTGGCTGATACAGTTTCACTGTGGCAGGAAACATGCACTTGACAGAAGTGAAATGAATAAAGTACCACATGTAAACTATTAGCAAAGAAATTAACTTATTTCCAAGCTGCCAGATTGTCAACTCAGACAGTCCAGCTCAGAATAATTTAGCTGGTCTTTCCACCATCATCTCTTCCTTGAAAGAATATGCAGAGTGAGAATTGAGGAGTTAACACTGTTCCTGTGTCGTTTTAACGGTTACTGAACTTGTTGTGCTAAGACGTGTCTAAAGGGGAGAACAATCAAAATTCACCATAAATTAGCCCCTGCCTCCTGGGGTTGAGAAGCTCCTAGGGAGGGAAACAGAGCTCAGATACCTGCACTGGGAAGACAAAAGTGCGTGGAAAACCATACATGCACATCTGATGATTATCCAGGGGTTAAGACATACAGAGACTGACAGAGCCAGATCTGTCACATTTCAACGCTTTATCATAAACTGCTTGTGCCTGAGAGCTCATGCAATTATATATTTAATTAGCTGGTTGTGTGCAGCAGCAGCAGGCAGCAGGTGGCGCTGTTGACAGTGACAGAGACAAGACGCAGGAGAGACTTCTCTGAGACCAGCTTGCACAGTACTGCACGCAATACTTTTCAGATACTCACACATGAACGAGACAGGCCCAAGTCTTCATTGTCACCACGCAGGAGTCACACACTGTAGTGCTGTAAGAAAAAACAGATGAGCTGTAACTCATTTCTCATCAGTCTGATGCACTCCGATCAGTGACAACCATTAAAATGCAGTGTCGTAACACTCTCCTCTCTTTTTACTTTTCAAAGCAGTGATTTTTGATCTTGCCTGGGCACGTGAAAGAACATGTGCTAGTGATACAAGCTGCATGACAGCGATGACGATAACAATGGCTCAGCACAGGCCCTTCCCTCACAACGCCGATCCTCCCCCCCCCCCTGCCTTCGCAGTCAACAACGCTGGGGTCGGCATGATCGGGCCCATCGAGTGCCAGAGCATCGAGGAGATGAAGGCCGTGTTCGACACCAACTTCTTCGGGGCGGTGCGGGTGATCAAGGAGGTGTACCCCGACATGAAGAAGAGGCGCAGTGGGCACATCGTGGTCATCAGCAGCGTGATGGGGCTGCAGGGTGAGGGAGGTCCAGGCGGTCAGTGAGTCGGGGCTCAGGGCTTGTCGAGCCCCAGCTCTGGGACTGGTCCACTGACCCCACAGCACGTACAGGAGCTGCTCCCTGTGCTCCTTATACCCTGGGGGGGTCTGGGGGCTGGGACCACTGAAGTCTCTTCGGTTTTAAAGTATCAGATGAATTACCAGTTTACTAGGTGACTTAAGAATATTCTCTGCTTTAGATTAGCTGTAAAATGTTCACATGCTCTCACCTACTTTAAATATCTGAGATACATTAATGTTTCAGATAGTTCCAACCCTGGGCTGTTAGCTGGGGCTACACACTGCAACTGGAAATCTTTAGACTGACACATAAATTAGGTTTATGGCTCTGACCTGGGGAAAAAAAAAAAACAGATTTTTGCTGTAATGTCTCTAAAGGTGCCAATTTCAAATGTGAAGAAAGAAAGAAAATGTTTCGGCTGTGGAGCCTGCTTTGGTTGTGAGAAAGACAGGGAGGCACCTGAAGAGGGCTCCACAGCAGAAACGTGTTTCTTTTCTTCTCTTTTCAGCATGGAATAAACCTTTACTTGTTCCTTTGCAGCCGACGCATGCTGACACAGCTACCTACTTGAACTAATTTCAAAAATATAATTTAAAAATAACTAATTTAGGTTTTACCATATGTACAAGACTTTGCATGTTTATAAAGGCCACAAGCTATCAGCCTCATGGATACTTTGTTAAGTGGCAGCGTCCCAGGAAGAAAGATCACAGTTGTTCACTCAGTATTTAGAAAACGTTGTATAGTCTCTTGCATCTTGGATTTTGACTCACAGTATTTATTTTGTCTCCCTCACTGCAGGCATCATGTTTAATGACGTCTACACTGCCTCTAAATTCGCCATTGAAGGCTTCTGTGAAAGCCTGGTTATTCAGGCGCTCAAATTCAATGTCTTGTAAGTTTTCTTCCTTTTGTATTTTGTGTGTATTTTGTATGCGTTTTAAAACCAGGTCAGGCCTCCTGCCAGCCCAGTGCTGTGCTTGTCTGTGCTACACCCTAATGCATAACGTGCTGTTGCTTTTCTCCCTGTGATACACTGCTCTGTACTGCTTTGCCCTGTGGGCATGAGTGAGCAGAGAAGCGCTGTGACCTGTTTATCTTCCCATCCCCCTGTCTCCTCGCCAGCATCAGCCTGATCGAACCGGGCCCCGTGGTGACGGAGTTCGAGGCCAAGCTGTACGAGGACGCCGAGCACGGCGACTACTCCAGCACTGACCCCGACACGGCCGAGATGTTCACCAACATGTACCTCAACAACTCCAAGGTCATCTTCAACAGCATCGGGCAGAGCCCCGAGGAAATCGCAGAGGTACGTCGGGGCGCGAGGCCGCAGGCGCGTCACGGAGTCATCGCTCTGTCCGTACAGCTTCAAGCACGAAGCCACAGAGCAGAGGCCTCCTGCCACAGAGTGCAATAATGTTCGCGTCAAGCCAACTCTCATTTACTTCATCCGAAAAACGGCTCGCTCAATTAACCCAGACAAAGAGATTAAACATGAGCAAAAAAGACATCCATCCAATGTAAAGGATGAAGGGATGGAGATCACTGCTCACTGCCTCTGAGGCACCACACAAACATGCAGACTAAAGCGGACTTTGAACGTTTCCCCTTGGTTCTGTTTTTCCATCTGCGATCCCGCGGCAGAAACTCAACATGGGGGAAAGATTTTCTTTTCAGTCTTAGCGCAGCAGGCTGACCTGCACACCAGCGCCCTCTCGCCTTTGCCCATCATCCTCTGCAGCACCCCGCTCGCCTCGAGCCCGCCGCAGTCAGGCTCCAGCTTTGCGAGGCTCAGAGAGCAGTCCGGTCAGAAAGATAAATACAGTGACTAAACTAAAAAGCAACTTGCATATGCAGAGTTGAATCAGCTGATTTTTTTAATTAAATGGAAGTGGCTTTGGATATGGATATGGCCAAATTTCCCATTGGCCCTTACCAATCATGGCCTCCTAATAATCCCCATCTATGAATTGGCTTCATCACTCTGCTCTCCTCCCCACTGAGAGCTGGTGTGTGGGGAGCGTTCTGGTGCACTATGGCTGCCGTTGCATCATCCAGGTGGGGCTGCACATTGGTGGTGGTGGTGGAGGGGATCCCCATGACCTGTAAAGCGCTTTGAGTGGAGTGTCCAGAAAAGCGCTGTATAAGTGTAAGCAATTAATGAATTAATGAATGAATGAATTAATTAAATGCAGTAAAAGGATAAGAAGCCCAGCACTTTCATTTTTAGGTCTGTAGGCGCAGGGCTGATTGGCTCTTGGCCTGGCCAGAGAGCCCAAGTCCCCTGGAGGTCACGGGTCTCTGTAGGAGCTGCTGTGGCTCTGGGCTTCACCTGAGGAGCCTGGCACTGCCAGGGACCGAGTGCGATAAAATGTTGCGGTAAAGGTGCAGGTGCAGGAACAGGGCAGCAGGGTAAATAAAGCATGGCGTGAAGTGTCAGAAACTAAGGCTGACTAAGCCAAAAGTACAGCCTGAAAGGGAACAAGCATGGTAAGCTTGGTAAGGGGAAACCAGCAAAAATAACACACACATAAACCTTCATGAGGGCGGCCAGGCACAGCTATGGAAGGCAGAGCGAGCGCTGCACTGCCGAGTGGCAACAGCCTGAGCTGGAAAGTCTGACACCGAAAGCTTTCTTCTGGCTTTCACTCCACCCAAGCTCACTTCACCACACCGTCACGAACCCGGATGTTGGCTCAACTGATTGCTTTGACTCGGATCCGCCTGCTTCTAAACGGGTGCAGGTCTCATGACCTCCCGCCAGAACGCGGCTGGAAAACTGTCCAAACCCACTGGCGGTCGGTCTAGAAGCGAGGCTGTTGGGTTTGATGTGTTCTGGTCGTCTCCTGCCAGCATCAACTGGCCTTGCCCTCTCTTCTCTGAAATGACATCACTGATTCTCTCTCATACTGTCTTTAAACACCAGGGCACTGAAGAGAAACCACAGTGCAGCAGCCCTGCTAGAGCACAGCCTGGCGTTCAGATTTCAGTGGCTGAATAATTTCCTGTGTGCTTATTCCGAAAGAGTTATATCTTACAAATGAAAACAAAATCACATAGCATTACATCTATTAAAATTCTGTGAAGATCTTAAAAAATATTGACAAAGTCACTGCAATGGAACTTTTCAGAATCAACAGTGAAACACAGACCAAAGGACATAAGTATAAACTGCGTAAAAGTGCATCTAAAACGGAGAACAGGAGGCATCTTTTTACCCGGACTGTTAAGGGGATTCTGGAACAAGATACTCAGCTATGTTGTAGAAGCCGATACCCTGGATTCTCGCAAGAAACGTCTGGAGGAGATCTTTAAAGCAATTAGCTGCTAATGACCAATAGGCCTCATCTCCCGTAATCTTTCTTACATTTTCATGTAAGTACACAGCAGCATATGCTGTGCTGGTTAAATCTGGGGCTGGTTGCAGGCATGAATAATCCACCATGTCCATGTGATCTGACAGAATAAATAGTTCTCCTCCTTCAAGCTGACTTTCTGTAGGGGCTTGGATTTGTAGAATTGACAAATTGATCCTCTTGATCCCTTTAATCCATTGGACATGTTTCCTTGAGCCCTGGTATCTAGGATTTGATCTAGAGATCATCATTTATCCATCTTACAGACAATAAGCCACCTTAGCACAGATTCCTCCTATTGCCTTGTTAATCCGAGACGTCCTTCTCCCTGGGCTCTCAGACCATCAGTTCTCTGCGTGGCTGAAGCTACTTCAACACATCTGTACTGTTAAACCACATAACAGTACATTTTTATTGCAGTTTGCCATCAGAGCTCAAGGATGTCGATCTGGTTTGTTTAAGCAAACTCAAAGTCGTCTGCAGATTTTCTCCTTCATTACAAAATTCAGATACAGACTCTTCAGTGTCTTGTCATGTCATGTCATTTGCCAAACCGCTTTATACCATGCGGTGTCGTGGGAAGCCGTAGCCTACCTAGCAAGCAACGAGCGCAAGGCAGGGTACACCCTGGACAGGACACCAGTCCATCACAGGGCAAGTGCAAGTGCAAGCCATACATGGGGACAAATTGGAGGCCACGGTAAAGGCCGAGGGGGAATAACTCCCTACTCTTATTGAGAAATGCCCTTGGTTTAACATCTGATCCGAAAGACAGCACCCGTCTTATAGTCTTATAGTGTCCCCGCCACTATACCAAGGCATTAGGACCCACACAGACCACAGGGTGGGCCCCCCATGCTGGTCCCATCTAGGTACTGACCAGGCTCAACCCTGCTTAGCTTCAGGGGGTAGCCAGTTAAGAACTGCAGGGTGATATGGCTTCTGGCGCTCTTTAGTGATTTTTATATTGTTCAAAACCTCTAATTATGAACACATTCACCAACATTTCTGGGTAGATCCCCCCAGAAATCTATATTTGCCCCTCCATGGTGACCCCTTGACCTTTACAAGAGTATATCCAGCCTTCCGGCAAGCCCACATGGTGAGAGTCAACAGCACACAGGCCAAGGCAGAGTACAACTCTCCCGCATAATAACATCTGTCCCTGCAGAAAGGAGCCGAGAAAAACAACATTTTCTGACAACAGCAGCACTGATACCACCATGTGGTTCACTTATCATTTAACTCAGTGAACATCTGACTCACCGATTTAAGATTGTTTTTCTTTGCAGCTGCTCCAGATATCTCCATCAGCCCCCCATAGTGCTCTCTCACGGATACCTTTCCACCTAAAACGACGGTACAGCGCAAACAGATTTTTCATCAATCATATTCAGCTTCTGAACAGGCGCAGATTTTGGGATCCTTACGATGCCTAAAGAGACTCCAAGGCAAGACTGGCTCTAAGGTGGGAGGTGGACACCAACTCAGACGCGTCTCTCGCTGAACACCCCCTGTCTGTCGTGCATCAGGTACCCTCTCATCAAGATACTGAATGCCTCCTCAACTTGACAATTTGGATGAGTGAGAAAACCTTGCATTTTTGGAGGTGGGCAGATTTGTCTGCTTACTATCCTCTGTGAAGGCCACATCTGCAAAAGAATATCCTGGCTACACCTGCTTGGAAACGTCCAGAGACACTGGGTGTATCAAGAGAGAGCCCAGCAGCTCTGCCCTGAAAACTCTATTTATCCTCCTTTTCCTCTCAGAAAACATGACCCTGCCACCCTGCCAGTGACAGCCTGCGAGTTTTCTTTTAAGATGTAACACGAAACCACTTAGCGAGTGAAATGACTGTGTGGCCATGACCTTTAGAGGCAGTGGGAGAGGTTTCATCGAAATCTGATCCATTGTATCTCGAGAACAGATTTGCGTGATTTGCGATTTACAGAAGATTCTCACGCTGGGCGACAAAGCAGCCCTGCTCCTTCCTCACCCTTCGGCTCCCTCGCTGCACTCTCACTCTCGGGCTGGTAAACGGGTGCAAAAAGCAAACCATCTCCCCATCTTTAAAGAAAAAACAAGGAGACACACTGAAAACGTGAAAATCCTTCTAACAAAGACACCATTTTTCCGTTTTCCATAGTTTTGGGAAATTTGCTTGGTTTCGTTCCAAAATGCTGAGCTGCAAAGGCCCTGGTTGTAGAAACTGCCTTTACTACATCCACACAAGACATCCTTGTCTTGAGGTCTTGTACATGAGGTGAGCAGTACAGCAGGAACCTGCCTGCAAGTGTGAGCTGGTCTTCATCACAAGTCTCTCTCATGGCAGGTTCACAATAAGCAGGGATGTTGGTCTGTGTTTTGCAGGTTTGCCACTTGAAGCTTTAACCTTTCCTCCTCTTCCCTTCTCTCTCCTCCTCTCCCACACTCTCCTCATATTGTCTCTGCCCCCCATCCTGCTGTCTTCTCTCTCTGTGTCCCTGTACCACCCTGTCTGCAGCACCTCCTGAAGGTTCTGACGGCGGAGTTGCCCCCATTCCGTCACCAGACCAACGCCATGTACACCCCCCTGACCGCGCTCAAGCACATCGACCCCACGGGGAACATGGCCACTGACGCCTTCTACAAGATGGTCTTCCAGTACGACCGCGTCATGAAGGCCAGCCTCATGTGCCTCAAGATGCTGAGATGGAAGGCGCAGAAACTGAACAACGGCATGAAGATGCTCGGGCTCAAGTGAGAGGTTCTCTCTCTGCGTCTTCCCGGACCCCCTCCTCCCTCGGGCCACCCCCAGGTAACCAGCAAACACCCAACACTGGGACGACACAGCCCACAGCGCTCGTCTCAGCCGCTGCCGAGAGGTTACAGCTGAACCTGCCGTCACTGTGTTGATACAACAACAACAACAACAACAACAACAAAAACATGATTTTATTTTGTTGTGCCGTTTTGTAAGTTTTTCTTATACTCCTGATGCGGAACCTGGCTGCCAGCACTGACTTTACCAGTTCAGTCTCTCTCATGCTGCTCCGCCTCAGTTTCTCCTATTTTGTTTAACTGACTCAGTAATGCCTCTCCCCTCCGTCTTAACACCCCATTGCGAGAGTAGGACTGCAGTCACCTACTCTCTGTAAAGCTCTTTCCATTCTCACGGGTTGGAAAACACAAAATAAAGTCACAGAAGTGACTGCTAGCATCCTGCACCTCCAGTGTTATTCGCTAAACTCCAGACAAAACAGTGGTGGCACTCTATTAGTCTTAACAAAGTCATGAACAGCTTTGTTAGAGATGGACGATGGCAATATACGTGCCTGAAACTGAAACCAGATTGTTGTTGCTGTGGTTAATAATACCTGTGACTCAGCAGGACCCTGGGTCCAAAGGCTGGTGCTGTCTTTGGTCTTTCTGCTCTTGAACAGGCCTATGTACAGTACATGAAAAGCTTTGCATATGCAACATTAATAACTGAAAGTCTTATTTTGTTTTTGATCTTCCAGGTACAACATTGTTGTCGTACATTAAGCATAATGGAACTCAAAAAGGCCCCTTCAGTGGGACGTAGTATTTTATAGCTGTATAATTAATAATAATTGCTTACACTTATATAGCGCTTTTCTGGACACTCCACTCAAAGCGCTTTTACAGGTAATGGGGACTCCCCTCCACCACCACCAATGTGCAGCCCCACCTGGATGATGCGATGGCAGCCATAGTGCGCCAGAACGCTCCCCACACACCAGCTCTCAGTGGGGAGGAGAGCAGAATAACGAAACCAATTCATAGATGGATGTATGGATTCATGTTCATGCTGGATTCATATTCATGATCCTGTTTGGCAGAAACTTGTCTCTAAATAGATATTTAGTGTGTGTTGCTGTTTTTTCTCAAATTTGCAAATGCAGGGAGAGCTCCTATCCTGCACTGAAATGTGTGTCCCTGTTACGCCAGGCTTCAGTCTCAAGGCAAAAGGTTTCAGTGCAACTGTGTTCTTGCAAATCCCCTCCACCTTGTCAAGTTCATGTGAGTAACAATAAATGGTGAAGATTTAAACACTGGGCTGGGTCTGTCTCTTTGATCTCTTACAGAGCCGGTCAGGAAAATTAACAATAGAGCGTTAACGTCCAAGAGCTTCGCTAGGAGAGAGCTGGTAACAGGTTTCCACATGCCTTCCTGACCTATTGATATTGTATTAATTCAAGGTGTAATTACTGTCATCATTTTCACATTTACTGTTACTGTATGTGATACAGCAGCACTGTGTGTTCAGGACATTTCCAGTTAATGAGTAACAAAACACATACTGGAAACTGGGAGGAAGATCTGGTCTGTAATCAGAAAAGGTGTGAAGCAGGCAAAACGATCAGCTGACAAAGGCTGACGCAGCGCATTAATCTGCTTCCTGGTGTCTTTTCATTTGAAGCTGCTGTTTATTATTTGCATCGTGAAGGGCCTCACGCGAGCGGAGCATGGGGGGAGGCGAGGACGATGTGCTCCGCCTGGGGAACTGGTGCCGCTGTGAAAACGCACAAGCACGCCGTCTGGTACAGGGGTCGCCGGCACAGGGTGAGATGGGAAAACCTGGCTAACCATCTGACCCCAGCAGCACATGGCCAATTCAAGGTCCACTGCTTGGACAATCCCAGTCACAGATGGCCAATGAAAGGAGCCCAGGCTCGAACGGCTGAAATCTGGAGCATGTGGCTCAACTAAAACAGCACCCTGACTGCTTGAGCCACTTGTGGGCTCCTGGTGCGTAAGAATCTGAGAAACAGCGACAGATAATCACTCTTGTGACACCAAGGCGAAGTGCTTCTTTACAGGTGTGAGAGTGGAGAGTCTTCATACATCCACATGTCCGTTCTCTAGAAACCAGACTGGCCGTTACCGTGTTGCGGCACAAAATATTGATTAAAATGAAAAATTTCCTTCAGAGATGGGCAGTGTCCCAAAGCTCTTCCTCCAAGTCCGCACTTCTGTGATGCAGAGCACGTGAGGACTTCAAGTGCACAGGCGTTCGACGGCGCACCGTTATAAAAAGAGTAATGGGACCCCCTCGTGTTACAGCACTCACTGGTCACAAGGCTCAGGGTCACAATGCTGTCTGTTGATGCTGCTCTTTCACTGGCTAAGTCCATGACTGCAGAGAATTTTCTAAAGACATTTTCCATTCTCTGCTCACAATTTGAACAAATCAAATGTCATCTCATCTGTCCCTGCACAAAAGTAGTGACATATCGTATTCGCTCTTGTAGAGCAGTCTGGACCCAGGCGGAGTAAACTAAGGAAAACTTGGCAATACCACTCTCTGTTTATTGTACTATTAAATACATTTCTCCTCGTCTGTCTGGGGTACACAACTCATTCATTCATGCTGAACAGGACTGATTCAAAGCGGTCAAAGTAAATAAGGTAAACTCAAAGTTTACCTCAAAGCTTTGTAGTATTAAATACTTTAATACTACAAAAAATACTCCAGAAGTAAACGAATATTCATCAGTTGAAACGGGGTGACGAAATAAGAGCTTTATGTCAACACTTTGTACCTAGAATACATACATTATGAATCTAAAGTTGCCTAATGAAATTTTATTTTTACATAAAATATTATGAATTTTAAAACTGTGAAAAAATATTTTTTTAAAAAAGAGAATATTTTGTTCTCCATGGCAACTTCCCTCTGCTTCGATAAGTTAGACCTTGAAGCACCACCATTCTGCAAGGAATTGTGGGAAATTCCCGTCAACAATATCCGCTCCGATGCCGACTTCAGAGAAGGGTGCATTGGGGGAGCTCGTGGGCACCCTTGTGAAACACAAATTAGAAATGAGACACCTGAGCCCATGCAGACTTGAGTGAGAACGCGCAAATGAAGGACACAAGACCACAAGTGTGCATACTGGGACACGGCTGTCGTTGGAGGACGAAAATCGAAACGAATTGATAATTGCACATTTGAAACAAAATGCTGATAGCCAACCTGTGCTCATTTTGCTGTGCCCTTTTAGTATGGAGCCATTGCCCTTATACTGTACATGTCACCAGTATGTGTTACAGTGGTCCAGCAGTAATGTCAGACCATTCTGCACTGAGGAAGCTGGTGGAAGCACTGCTGAATGTTATTGACACAGTTCTGTCTCCTTTGTAATATTGCACAACAAGCGGCGAAGCTGGTCGCATTCTTCGTCAGAGGCCAGAGTTAGCAGCATTACTCAAAGCTCTACCCGCCCAGCCACTCCGAAACTCAACAGTCACCGTTTCACGTGGAGGAGGAGACACTGAAAACCTCCAGGCTGTCTTCTTTCAGCATCTTACCTTCTAAGAGCAAATTCCCATGGAAAATTTGCGTGCTGATTTTACCATTGTTTTCCTTTCACCATTTTAATGTTCCTTGATACGACGGTCAAGTGAAATTTCCCAGTCAGGTGCGCCGTGCTTCCCCACACCTCCCATGCTTGCGCTGTTCTGACCTGGATGAGCTGGAGACACGTGTCAATGCGTCAACATGTGACTGTAGGATACTTGCCCTTCTCCGCAGCACATCATGGTTTTATCTGTGTCTAACGTAGCTAGAGTACAGCAATATTTTTCTAAAGCCAAACATAAAGAATATTTCATCCATTCATTTTCTAACCGCTTTATCCAATTCAGGGTTGCGGGGGAGCTAGAGCCTATCCTGGCAAAGAACAGGTGCGAGGCAGGGTACGCCCTGGACAGGACGCCAGTCATCCACAGGACACGGACACACTCCAGACAAATTTGACTAGAAACCAATTAACCTACTAGTATGTCTTTGGACTGTGGGAGGAAACCGGAATACATGGACATGAACTCACATGAACATAAGGAGAACATGCAAACTCCGTGCTGATAGCACCCCAGGAACTGAAAAACAAAGGATATTTCAAGAAAATCTAAATAACATAAAAGATACAGATCCAACCTCCAGGTGTACCAGAGCAAACAAACATGGTGTTGTGACAGTTCTCTCATGGTTTTATGACCACTATAACACGGATCTGCTTTCCCATGCTTTGTACCAGTAAGTGATTTCACCATGATTGACTGTGCTCGACTCCGCTCATACTGTGCTGTGCTGCAGCAGAGCTTTGGAAAGGACTGCACACAAAGTGCAGAGCTGGCCATGTTAGCCTTTGGACTTGTCCTGTTTTCAAGTCTGCTTTTGGAAAGATGGAGAAGAGGGCAGCACACCCACAGCGTTCAACCGTGGTTAAACCAAATGGCTCAAGCCTGACATACCCCTGATATAGGAGCTAAAAGCAGGGACTGTGGTCAGCGTGGACACCCCAGCGCTCTGTGGTGGAGCTCAGCACCGCAGCACGTGAGCACCTGCCACAGCACCAGTATCTACAGCTGTGGCACAGGCGGTACAAACAAGTCACATGCTGATGCTCTGCATGGAAAAGATTTGAGTTTTTTTCTCCATAAGCGGCACTATTTTAAAGTGGAGTTTTTCAGTTGTTTTCTTCAGGCTTTCTCTTTTTGAAATGGCCCTCAAGAAAAAAAAGGTCTCAAGGCATTTCTGACCTTGCACTGCAGCAGGTTGACAATCTGGACAGACCCCTGCTGCAAGTAAGCGCAGTAATTAAGTACAAGAACGAAAACCCAGATGACATTGTTGCCTTCCAGTATAGACTTGCATAGCAATGTAATGGATAATGTTGGGACCTGGGTGTATTTGTTCCCCAAATTCCTTTAAAGCAAGTGATGGAATTCGCTGTAAATACAGTCTAACATCTGATGCTGCTTTGTGCTCAACTCCGCTAATATCAGAAATGTGTCACTTAACACTATAGTACACTGCCCAAAGTGCTTCAGGCTAAAACAGCTCCTTTATCACTTAGTATTATAGTATATTACAGTATCTGGGCTTATGGAAGGCGCTCAGACTAAACTT